AGTTTCAGTGTTTATGTAGTATGTTAGACTAGTTTAAGTGTTTATGTGGTTAATAAAGTCTTACTTGTATCACACTTGACGTTGTTCATTGTTTGCTCATAACTGGAGTCCCTAATCATGCAGATTTATGCTACAGGCTCTGTGTAGAGTTGTACAGTAAGAAAGTTATTTCCTTTAACCAGGAAATTAACGTTCTTAGAATTGACAGATAGTTGACCCTGAGAGGTCAAGTAAATATCTACAGCGGATCTAAATATTTATAACTAGTTATGATTAATTATTCATATTTCCCCATGAGCTGATTCGCTACATGACCAACCACAATGTATACTGTATACCAGCAGTAAGATTTTTTTTAAAAATTAATTAATTATTTTATTCAGCAAGGATACATTAAAATTGATCAAAAGTGACAGAAAAGTTCTAAAACAGTTTCTGTTTGAAATAAATGCTGTTCTTTTTAACTTTCTATTCATTAAATAATCCTGAAAAAAAAAGATATCCTTGTTTCCATAAAAATATTAAGCATCAAATCAGCATATCGTAATGATTTGTGAAGGATCATGTGACTTTGAAGACGGCTGAAAATTCAGCTTTGGCATCATAAATATTAAATATATTCAAATAGTAAACAGTTGCTTTAAATAGTAATGATATTTCACAATATTACTGTTTTACTGTATTTTCGATTTTTTTGAGTATAAGAGATACATTAAAATATCTGACTGACTCTTTGAATGTTAGTGTACTGTAAGGTTTCTCATCAGAATGTGTTTTTGTGTACTACACTGAAAGTACTTTCATTTCTCACTTTCAGGGTCATATCCTCGTCTGTCTCTCAGTTTTAAACTGAAGAGAAACATTGGATATTTCATCCTGCAGACCTACATGCCCTCAACATTGATCACCATCCTGTCCTGGGTCTCTTTCTGGATCAACTATGATGCTTCCGCTGCAAGAGTTGCGCTAGGTGTGTGTTTGTGTGAGCACACTTTCGTTGCACTTTCTCTTCACCTCACTTTTTCCCAATACTTCTTAAATTTACTTTTGATGTCAACCGGTTTCTAAATAAGCTTTTTCAAACATTGTAATACTTTAGGAATCACCACCGTTCTGACTATGACCACAATCAACACTCATCTTAGGGAGACTTTACCCAAGATCCCTTATGTGAAGGCCATAGACATCTATCTGATGGGCTGCTTTGTCTTTGTGTTCCTGGCCTTGCTCGAGTATGCCTTCGTCAACTACATATTCTTCGGCCGTGGTCCACACTTGCAGAAGAAAGTGGCAGAAAAAGCTGCAAAAAGCAACAATGAGAAGAGTCGCTTGGAGAGTAACAAAGTTCAGGTGGGTCTAGGGATGCACCGATCCATTACTCGGTATCGGTATCGGCTACGAGACTGGCATTTTCTGCCAGATCGGGTATTGGACAGAGGAGACCGATCCAAATATGATATTCTGCATTTAATATTCTTTATTGTTAAGCCCCATGAAACCCCCCCCCTGTCTCTTTGGTAGGGCTGTGATTACAATTTTAATCTGATTAATTGCATGATGTGCTTGTTATAGATAGTTCATCTGGATAATCGCACATCAGTATTGGCTGAGAAATTACCCCCCCCCCCCCCCCCCCCCACAAAGTTCTTGTGAACTATATTCCAAGTGTTCTAAAGCTGTTCCATAGTTCAACGTTAGGTACAGTTGAATATCCATGTAAAAGAGTACAGTTGAATATCCACGAGTTCACGTAAACTCTTCTCTCCACTCTTTGACCCTTTAACCTGTTCCACATTTACTTCAAGTTGCACCAATTAATTTTTTCATTACACTGTAAAAAATGATTTTTTTCAAAGTTGCTGTTGGTTTTATGTATAAACCTTTTTGTAAGAATAATCACTAAAGCTTACCTCTTTTCTTTGCTTATATACTCTTTTTTTCCATTAAAGGTTGATGTTCATGGAAACATTCCCCTGACAAACCTTGACCTGCGCCTTAGCGGGGCAGAGATGTTAGGTGCTCTTGGGGACCCGAGGAACACCATGTTCTCTTATGATAGTGCCAGCATCCAATACCGTAAGCCCCTTACAGGTCGGGACCTCTACGGCCGGCCCACTGCCTCTGTCGAGAGGCCGATGGCACGAAAAAAGAGTCGCCTAAGGAGGCGAGCCGCTCAGCTAAAGGTGAAGATTCCAGACCTGACAGACGTAAACGCCATCGACAAGTGGTCACGTGTCATCTTTCCCATCACCTACACCTTCTTCAACTTAGTATACTGGTTGTATTATGTCCACTAGGGAGCAGCACTGGCTCGACCCAGCCATTCACACATCAGGTCAGGCTCTCTTACCCTCCTTGTGGTTTTGACCGTCAGTCAGACAGGAGGAGGAGGTGTATTCTGTTGGTAAACTATAAAGCATATATCAAATAAATCTGTTATAATTTTTAAATAAGACAAAATAACTTAAAATGACTACCCAACTTTTAAAGCTGTTTATTGTAGATTATGTCACAAATATTAGTTTAAAATGGTCACAGATTTTTGCACTTAACTGCAGGATCAGTTTCACTGACTGCAGAAAGTACAGCTTCACAATGGAGAGAAAAAGGCTTTTCTTTTGAGACGACTGACCTGCAGCTGTAGACAGGCTTAAATCTTTAAAACAGCATTTGGAAGTTGTTTTCATCATCCATCTTGCATATATTGGAGGACTGAAGGTCTTAAAGGGATGTTCTTGGTTTATTACAAGCTGTATTGACAACATTAGTGGTATAAATTTCATTACAACAGAAAATGATTTTAACTAATCCCTCAGGTTTTTATAATAAATAATTGCAATTGGGAAAGGAATTACAAATGACTTTTTTCTGGTACTTTTATACACTGTAGATTTAATTAAAGATTTATCACTTTGTTTTACAACAATGCAAGCATTTGGGTATTTTTTAGAAAAGCAAGTTATTGAGTATAGTGAAATTGTTTCTGTTTGAGGTCAATATGACCCTGGCAAAAGATTAGGAAGATTAGTAAAAGTCTTGAAGTGTCAGCCTAATTCTGTTTGGTATTTGTGGTATTAGTATTTAAATGTGGTTACAGTAAGACACTTACAATGGAAGTACATGTGCCAGACAATTGAAATAATAATAATACCACATAACATAAGTCATTCATATTGGCATGGCATGCTGGTAAATACGGACGATATGCTCATGGATACCTGAAATTGATGTAACAGTTGTACTCTGCTTACATGGAGCAAGCTCCACCTACAAGACTAAATGTACAGTATCATATACTTTTATAGTTACTGAAGACAAGTTAATTTACCTCTAATAGTAATCCCTTAAAAAGTAATTTCATAGTCAGTTGTTGGAGCTTAACTTGAACGAAAACCTGGAACATTCCTTTAAAATCAAGACCTTCTGCCCCAGTTTAGACACATCACATACTGTAGATTAAACCTGTTTGTCTTAGTAAGACTTTAGCAACTCCGCTAGCAAGAAATGGGCAAAAGAGCTCATCGTTTGGGTTACAGTATTTATAGGGCTTGGCTAAGGCTACACTTCAAAAAAATATTATCTGTCTCTAACATTGTGTGAACAAGAGATAATAGTTTACATCAGTCGGACGGTCGAACGGATGTCCTTACATCAGCATGACGACACATGATGATAAGCAAGATACGAGTTTAAAGTCCTCACAGTTTGTAAATTTGTACATTAAAACAAATCAGGTATTGAAAGATGAATGATGTCATCATGTTTTTCTCTACTTTTTCTTATAAACCAACAAATCCTGCATATTTCATTCATAGCAGCAGTTGAATTTTATACTGTAAAGCCCAATATATCAAATCCAGATTCATTAGCAAGAGGTTAAAAGACAAAACGGTTTCAGGAAAGTGATATTTTATTTCCTGTTGTTCAGTATTTGACTCAGCATTCCTAACATTATTGCAATCAAAATGTAGCTATGATTTTAGATATGGGCATTGTTTTAGGGATGTAGTTATAACTATTTATATAGGAAGTGACTTCACAGTATTTACCTTTCACATTTGCATTTTAGCTTTAAACTGCTATTCACTGCGAGTTATATATTATCCAAGCTCACCAAAATGGCTAATGGGACTTAATAACAAATTAGATTTTTCTTCTTTATGGCGGAACTTGTGCCTTTCAAGAAAAAAAAAAAGTATTTTACAGGGTTTAGCATGCAACAGCAGAGTAGAAATATTCTGAATGGATTTCCACTTTTCTATAGAACAAATATTACTTAAGGGTGCCACACATAATTAAAAATAAAGGTACTTTCAAGGGCTTTTCAAATGCCCTGCATTAATATTTCAGTATAATATTAGAAATACATAAAATGCATTTGGCATGTTAATAAATTGCTTGCATTGCAACACTCTTTTTGTTTCAGTGACAATCTGACTGGGACATGAGCTGCTCAGTTTATTGTCCAGGAGTGAATGAACTTTACGAAATTCTCCATTAATGCTAATCAAAGACTGACAATGTAAAAACAAAGCATATTCACACGCTCCAGCCAGAATCAGCATGAATACACAAACACATACACATAAAAGTGAAGTTATATTAGATATATCTATCATTCATACGTGGTGTTTTGTAAGCCTAGGACTGCAACCACAGTTGTTCTTAAGGAGACTTTATTTTAAATCATAGACATTTTGAATGAATTCAAATAAAATATCTCACCAAGCATAATGGGAAGAGCTGATTTTTGTACTCGATTGCTTTTTTGTTGCATTACCACATGGCATTGGTGTTTTTGTGAGCTGGGAAGTTTAATAATCAATTACGGACACTGAAAAGGGTTAATTGTTCTCATAAACCAACCACCTTTGGCTCTTCAGGGAATTAACCTATTAAGATGATCTGACAGTAATGAAGACAAAATTCCATTAATACAACTTACTTGATTTAATCCACTTCAACATGTGCACACCACACCTATTAATCAGGATTACAAGTGAGTGGTGTCACATGATCGCGTCAAAAAGTCTGGGGGTTTCTGCCTATTAGTCAGTGTTGACTTGCATTGGCAAAAAAGATACAACTCAACACTCAAGTGTTGACATTCAATGTTTTTAGTTACTTTATTTAGAAAGGCAACCTTTTGGGTTGTGAAATCAAAATGCATTTGCATTTCATGGAGAATTGAAAGCAAGATCTGTGGCAGGCATTTAGTTTTTCATAGTGAAAAATACTCAGCCTCAAAACGACCCTGCCACCATTACTTAGGCAACTTCAAGTCAACTGTGGTCCATACTGATGGAGCTTGAACAATAATATTCAGTCCTTCATGAACACCTCAGGAGAGACACTGACAGGTTCTTGGTTCTGTCCGTAAGGTTTCCGTTTGCCCACATGCAGGCAATTGTCTCATAATGAAAAGTATGATGGCACAGAACCATCTTTCGCTGGTATCTTCATTTCATCTGCAACACAACCTAGAATAGGACACATAATGCCAGGAGAGTTAAGTGTAGGTGCCACTATTGTCTATTTACAGGCCATTACCTTTCAACATTTTACCTGATAAAAACTCAACTTCAGTCCTTTAATTAACATCTTTTGAAGCAAAAAGCTGCATATTTGTAATAAAGAGATCCATCATTAATGAGCTTTTAATTTCAAGCTGTTGGCTTCCAGCCAAAATACCAGTCTATATCCATATTCCATAATAATGAAAGTCTATCCCCTGTTGTCTTTTTACATCATAATCTACCAATTTATTTGCTTAGAACTATTTTCACCTATAAACAGTGCTTGATCAGTGCATATTTCTCTCCTGATCAGAATTTTTCACTGAAGAATGCAATAATATTGATAGAGGACTCTATCAAAAGCAATGGTTTGAAGATAAAAATGGCTTAATGATGGATTAGTTGCTTACAAACAGATTTTCATAGATGGAAGACTAGAGATTTGTTATGGATTATTGTGATGTTTTATCAGCTGTTTGAACTTTCGTTCAAGCGGCACCCATTCACTGCAGAGGATCTAGTGCTGAGCAAATAATGTAATGCTAAATTTCTCCAAACCTGTTTTGATTAACAAACAAACTCATCTACACCTTGGATGGCCTGAGGGTGAGTAAATATCCATTTATGGGTGACCTATTCCTTGAAACATTACCTTATTAGCAGCCTCTAGTGCACTGATGAGAGTTTGCAGCTCCTCTTTGTTCATTTCTATATTCACCATTCTCTGAATTCCATTCTCCTTCAGGTCCAGACTGAGATTTAGCAGAGGAGTGTTTAAAGCTGACAGCTTGTCGCTGGATAATGCCAGCTAGAGTGAGACAGAAGGAAAGGGAAGAGGAAGTAAGAAAGCAAACATCAAATGGGAAAATCAATAGATGATCTTTTCACTGTGATAAATGCATGCGTGTATATATGTGCTTGGTGCACCTTTAACTGCCAGTTGAAGTCCTGAAGCTGTGTGCTTGAGATGCCATTGGTTCTGTCAACCAAAGCATGTCTGATCTCATCAAACCTGGAGCGCACACACTGGAGAACAGCCTCAGCATGTGCCGTGTCCAAATCACTCAGCAGCTCCTGGATCTTTAGGCGTGTGTGCAAAATAATCAGTTAGTCATGTTTAGTCAACCACTAAATCTGCTTGAACACTGACATGATTCTGTACACAGATATGTTTATATGTCTGGTCAGATTCATCTACTTGCCTCTTGATCTGAACAGCCCCTTCCTACAGCAAAGCGGATAAAAGAGGAGAGAGTGTTCATTAACTCCACCCATTCTGTCAGACTCCACCGTTCACCGTAATCTGTTCGCCTCGGAACACTTCGGCCGCACACCCCATCCACCACCCGGTGTATGAGCTGACAATACAAAAAGGAGTTGAAGTATGTGACATGTAGGCCAAGTATGGTAATCCGTACTTGGAATTTGTCCTCTGCGTTCATCCCATCCAAGTGCTCACACACAGAAGTGAGTAGTGAACACACACCCGGAGCAGTGGGCAAACTTTTGCTGTGGCATGCAGGAGCTATTTGGAGCTCGGTGCCTCGCTCAAGGGCACCTCAGTTGTGGGTAATGAGGGTGGAAAAGAGCGCTGTTCATTCACCTACTTTGGTTAGAGTCGGACTTGTAACCTGAAAGTCATGGGTTTGAGTCTCAGTACCGTTCCGGCAGGAAATGTAGGTCAAGGGAGTGAATGAACAGCACTCTCTTCCACACTCAATAACTTCAATACCCACACTCAGCTTGACACCACACTCTGCACACTCCTTAACAACAAAATTATGTTTGTGTGTTCACTACTCACTGCTGTGTGTGTACTTGGATGGGTGAAATGCAGAGCACAAATTCTGAGTATGGGTTAGTTACGCCCCTTTCAGTGTTGAACTTGTACAGTATGATGAAGTTTTGCCAATTTGTGATTTGTTACTGTCAAGCAATGGCATTAAGTCATATACTACTAACTGTAATGGTAGTGTACAATAATGCTAAAAGTAATAAAATATTGACTTTCAAATGCTAAGTTGCATAATTGTATATAATTTTAATTTCTCGAGTAAATATACAATTCAAAATATGAAATGTGGCCACAATGTTTATTGCTTAATATGGCACGCATCAGGGCCGACGCATATTTCATAAGGTTATATTTTTTCCATTAACTTGGGTCTGCTTTAAACATTTCAATAATCTTTTACAGATTTACCGCAATTTTAAACCACATATCTTTTTTTTGTGTGAAAGACTTCAAATTGATTTTTAAGGTAAATAATCCACAAGTCAGAAATGAACTATACATCTAAATAACAGTATCTGGTTTAAATGTTCATTTGTTTTCACCAATTAGACGGTTTAAATTAAACAATTTCATGAGTAAAACGCAATATTATTACGGGCAGCATGGCTGTTCTCAAACTGATGGCATGTGCTACTGACGCGAGAACAGAATGACTGCATCTACTTGTGCATGTGTATTATTTGCTAAATAGTATTATGTGTAGGAAACTGCTGTTACTTACTTTAGGACATTCTTCAGATGGTAGTTTTTCGAGAAATGTTATCATAATGCTGTCAGTCGTCTTCCTCAGCGCCAAGGATGTCAGCTGAGCGAACGTCACGTGACTTCTGTCGCGTCTTCAGGATGTGGCGCTGCACACTGTTGGGATCATATAAGATACATATCTATGGTTGGGATTTATTAATGAAAATTTTGACATATTAATAATATTAACCTGTTATAGTCTAACTATTTCAATGTTGTCACATTTACAAAACTTAAAAATAAAAAAACCCGGAAGTAGTCGTTCATACAATTTCAAAATAAAAGTTTAAAATGATAAATTAACAGTAAACATTTGAAATTAGATCCAGATTTAAAATAAATGTATTTTTACACAATTGAAATACAATTTTTAAAAAATACAGCTTTTGTACAAACTTTTCCCACATCTTAAAACAAAAAGACTAAATGTAGTCTTGGTTACAAGATGTACTATTCAGAAATTATATATTGTACTTATAATTCTTTGGAAATGCTGGTAGGTAATTACGGTTATATACATTTTACGACCCAAAAAAAAAAAAGGATTCTGTTTTATTTCGCTTGCCAAAGCATGATAATACGTGTTGCGCAAAGAGAAACTTGGAAACGTGTGGGTGGATGTGTGTGGAGCGCCTGTGGCTGTTGATCAGAGCACACAGGATCCTCACGCGCTAGGCGAGCTCATGCAGGGAAAAAGTTCGGAGGTCACTGTAGACATATAACAATTAAATACAACAGTACTTTTCGACTACGTACTAAACAGGTCCTCGAATGAGACTTTACAGGCCAAGTCCATGACTCGACGGTAAGTTTAAGGCTTTGTTATCTTAAATATGCATTGGCTGCTGCCTTGTTTCCCATCCAGACGCCTCAGTCTTTATTGGGTCATTTAAGAAGTGCATGCACATACTGGGCCATAAAGCCGACATAAACATTTTATGATTTTACACTCTTTTTGACCTGCATTCACTCGAGGTCACATGCACATCTATTGTACACGCTTCATATGTGTCTGTGAATGTGTTTCCGGATGTGTAAAAACGGAGCTTTTCTCTTTTTAAAACCAACATTTAAAGCACCATGATATTTTCATCGCGATCTTTTCCCGTCTTATGAGTAGCACGTGATTCACTGAAACATTTGTTTGCACAAACTGAGAAACATTTGTTTGTACATCTCGCAGTCATTATTGTATTGCATTGCATTATATGTTTCCCCCAATTAAAACGGCAGAAACTGCGCAAATCTAAGCATTTAAATATCATCTTACTGAAGACATATTATTTGGACATACAGAGCGACAACTGATATTTATGTAAATTTTTGTAAGTGCTCTGCTATACTATTACAAAGATCATTGTTTTACATTACAAGAATTCTGAATTTCATCTTACTTGTAGGCCAGGTAAATAACAGTAAAATTTATTTTTTTCTGACTTTTACTTAATATGTCAAGCTTTACAGGGTTGAAGAATTTATTATATTAATTCTAATTTTGATTTTGCAGCAAATAGCAGAAGAGTTGGCGTAGAATGATGTGGTTAGCGTTAGATGTGGTTAGTCACCAATGCTGGGTAGATGATAGAATATACTAGTTCTTGGTTAGTTAAGCTAGATAAAGTCTTCATCTAATGCTTTTTTTACATTTATTTGTTTGTTACTATTTGGTTGTTCTTATTTTGTTTAGAAAACCAGTTCAATAAAATATGTCCATGGTCACCTGTTATCTGCTTAGTGTTTTGTACATAGTCGTTTTTGTTTTAGAGACTTTTTCCTCCTTCCTCATTTCGGGTCATGTCATTCTTGCAGTATGTCTGCCACAGAGCGAAACCTCTTGTAATTTGGCCTATGTGAAATGTAAGATGGTTTATTTGAATCTAGTCAAACACTTCTTCCTCTTCCCTTGTTATAGGGAAGTATGAGGTTAACTTGAAAATGGTATTCGCTCCAGGCACAACTTCTGCGGTTTGCTTTGTCACAAGTTAAGCCTGTTCAACAGGATTCAAAAAGAGAAGAAATGGCAGGTTGCAAGTCATTTACTGTACGGATTTATATTAATTATTGTTTATGTGTTCAGGAGGTGGGCTGTTTGTAGCGTACACGGGGACTTCGCCATTTTGTCTCCTCAGGCTCTGGGATCTCATCATCCTCATGGAGCGACTCTACTGGGTTCGTCACAGATGTCTGCAGCTGATATCCACAGACAGGAGGAGGGGCTGGTACTCTCCTCCTTCATCACTTCCTGCGAAGAGTAGTCTGGACGCTCAGGACCCTCTGGTTCAGCGGCTCACTGGAAAGAGAAGAGTGGTGGTGTCACAATGTGATCCACACCAAGCGGAGTACCACAGCTTCTCCAAGGGCTTTCAAGACAACAGCATCCGGACCACCAAGTACACCCTCATCAGCTTCATACCCATGAATCTTTTCCAGCAGTTTCACAGGTCAGATATTGAGCTGAATATATATCATGTATTGTCTAAATTATTTGATAGTGTGTTGTTGTTTATGTTTTTTTGTGTGAGTTACTGACACATTTGGTTTCTGACTATAGAGCAGCAAATCTGTACTTTCTGTTCTTGGTGTTGCTGAATTGGGTCCCAGTGGTGGAAGCATTTCAGAAGGAGATTACCATGATCCCGCTAGCCGTGGTGCTCGCAGTCATTGCCTTCAAAGACGCCATGGAGGACTACAGACGTTACCGCTATGACAAGAAAATAAACAACACACTAACACATGTCTACAGTGGGTCAGTATTTGTTCATCCCTGTTAATATGATGTGGTCAATGATAAGACTTTCATGATCATGTGACACTGTTTCTGCTACTGTGTGGGTGTTTTGGGTGAGTTTTGTAACTTCCTTTCTTTTCTGATTTGAGGAATACACATAGTAACTTATATTTGGTTATTTCCCTGTGTTTTCCCCATATTGCATGATGACCTGTTTCAAGGTAACTGCCTAGTGAGGGTAGCTTGTGTTCTACCAGGCAAAGACTGATGAATAACTATGAGGCCTATACTGTAGAATGATACAGATTGCAAGACCACTGTCTGTTGTCTTTTTCACTTTGAAATTAAAAATGACTATTTTACTGATGGATCAAAGTAACGCAATGCGATCTGCCATGCAAAGGTTCCATGCAAATGGTTACAAAGTGATTTAAAATGTCAAAATATTCATCATTCTGAGACCACTCAGCCATCAATTAATTTTTTTCATTTTGTTACTTTGACCACAATCCATTCAAAATGAAGTGATGAGGTTATTTGGAATAAGTTTTATTCAGTGTTATTTATACATTTATAAAAACATTTATTCATATTTTGAATTAGCATTTATTTTTATATTTTCATTTTTCGTTATAATTATAGTTTTAGTAATTTTATATTGTTTTGTAATTTTTGTCGTTATCTTTTTATATTTTATTAAGGCTTAATTCATTTTTATTTTAGTTTTACCTTCAATAATTTTATTTAAATGTATTTAATTCCAGTTAGTTACCAAGGTGACATTTGTAATTTTGTAAAGTTTTCCACAATTACATGTTATTTTATTTAAGCTTTATATCAATTCATTTTTTTTATTTTTTTTTATTTTATTTTTTTTATACTTATAACACTTTTTGGAAATGAGCTTCATCATG